TGCTTAGCGCCTCTATATCTTTTGCATACTCATTATACAACAAAACTAAACATCCGTCCACAGATTTACAAACTACAAATTTAAATTTAAAAGAATTTCCATGACCCTTGAAATAAAAACTGGGTCGTTCTTTATGATGCTTCAAAATTATTCATTGATACTATTAAAATAAGTATTGCAATTTATCGTTTAATCATTATGAATTAAATATCAAATTGTGATAATTTCCGCCACATGTTATCGATCTTTATTCCTAACACGGATAAAAAGGCATTTTTCTAGCATACCAGTAAGTCTTGATCTAAATGGCTTAATAACTATGGTCTTATATACATCTAAGAGTAGCGTAGTAATTTATTCATTTAAATTTAAATAAACAATCATTTAGTTTAGTACAAAATGTACTGCAATTCAATTTTAGTCATCAAATCTAAGTTCATCTGTTATTCAGTTATTATTGTTCGTTGAAAATTGAAAAATTTACCGCTAACTATGAATTAAACATTTGTTAATCAAAATGATTAGGGTTGTAACTATGATGCAAAATCACGATCAATACTCACGAACATCCTTGGTGGATTAACGTCCCTTCTCCTTAGGTTAACAACCCTGAATTCTAAAGAAATAATTAAAGATGCGTTGTTATTTTTTATATTCCTATTAAATATGAATCATAATAAGGAAGATATAAATCCGGGTACGAACGGAAATTACGTTCGGCTTTTATTGGAGTCATGTGATTCGAGCTCGCAGCGATTATCATTAAGTATTCGAGGAAACTGTATTTGAAAATAGGCGGAACAAAATCAACATCGTTCAAATGTAATCGTTCAAGTTCAATATTCAATCATTGCGATTTTTTTTATCTTTTTTAAATATTAAACACAACTCCTCTAATAACAGGGTTTAGTAATTTTAGTAAATAATAATAAAAGGAAGGAGAGTATGAAGGGATAGAAATTCTTATTGACTTATTTTTAAAATTACTCTATTGCTGTCGTATTTTAATTTCACTAATTACCTACAAAGGATTACATATAGTTACATAAAAGGCGGCTATATCAGCATGGTAATTAGTAACATATGTCGGAACGGAACATATTAGAGGTTACTATTTCTGAATTTCTATAAAACTCATACACGTTAACGCATCTGCAATCTAAATTATTGTACTCCGGACCATTTAGAGAAAATATATAGCTATTTTAATCACAGGGAAAGATATAACTTGTAATCGTTTGAGCGATGTCTAAACGCTGTTATTAGTAAAGATTCATGGGGTTATCCAAAAACTGGTCATAAATTTTGATAAGATGTTATTTTTTATATCTGTTAATTACGCGGTAACGAAGCGGATATGCACTGATAAAGCATAAACTATACGAGTATATTCTATAGTCGATAGCTTGTATAGATTATACATAAATTATAACTATGAAATTGTTCTATAAATAAAATATACCTAACGCGTGTATTCCTTAGAAGCACAGATATTAATTGTGAAATGTACAAAATAATCACACCCTTAACCTATAGTGGTAGGTAGAGATTATAATCTTTAATTTAGTGCGGTCTCAGCACATCTTTCGCCTCTTTTATCAAAATCTAAAATCCATGCTCGTTGATTTTTGATGCGCATATTTGATGTTTTCTATAAGAAGTATTATATCGTATTATAATTTTACGCAATCACGTAACTTTGAAATAACAATAACATTCTTTGCATTCTATAAATTGAAGTAGGAAAGCTTAACGAATGTACAAAATGTATCCACTAACTCATCAGCATAAAGACGAAAGTGAAATTTTTCTCAATATTTGTCTTAAACACATAAAACCGACGTAATGTAACGCAATATTTTATTTATGTAAGAAACGAAAAAGCTCCTCGATGTTATAGCTTAACAACAAAGCTTTTAGCTTTTATATGAAAGTGTTTTTATAATCGTAACAGAATAGTTCTTGTCAGTCATTGCAGTTATTCCTTTAAAAAAGTCTATTAGTAGATGTTATTGTTTTAAAAATCTAATTGTGAACAATTTTAAATAAATTTGTTATTTTTAAAAGTTGGTAGCACAATTTCAAACAAGATTAATTTGAGTATAACACTCGTTAACTATAATTATGATATACAACTTTATTACAGATAATATGAACCCACTTATCTTTAATTTTTAAGACCCAACAGTTTATAGCCTTATAAAAACTAAACCGAAATAACAAAGTTTTTAGTGTACACATTAATTGGTCCAACTTATTTAAAAACATGTAGCGATGTCAACAAGTTAGGAAGTTATTTTCAACTTTCACTTGATGTTCATGTCACGTTCAAGCTTGTGCAACCATCAGACCTGTTTTATCCTTTTCATCTCATTGTTAAGAACCTAATTAATGTTTTTAAAAAAGTTCAATAAATAAAGCCGGATAGATATATTCATATTAAAGTGTTCATATTTTTATAAAATTTTCAGGAAACTCGATTAGGGGTTTTTCTTCCAAAAATTTACCACTTCAGAGATCAATCAAACATAGCCTAGCCAGGCTAGGATTAGGCAAGCCGGTTAAAACATGTTTTAAAAAATGTGCTCTTTCATATAATGTAGGTTTTATCATAAAAATCGGATGAGGGAAGGTCATTACTCGTGCTGTATCCCTACCTATTAACTATTGGTTAGTGTTTTTGGATAACTTCATGAAATTTCGAACTAAGTAACTTGAGATTTACTCCGTTGACGTATTGTTAAAGTGAAGTGGGGATGTAACAGGTAGGAATAACAATGCCGTCTCTTAAACTGCTAATAAGCTTCAACCCAGACATTGTGTAAAACATGTGTGTAAATAAAATAAGGGTCGGATTATTAAAGTACAATCTACTGGTATTGCCGCAAAAAGTATATTATGCCAACTAAATATAAATCAAGAATATTGATGAAGATAAAGTATAACTTTGTGAATGATATTCATACAAAAATATCTAAAATGATCAATCGATGATTACTATGAACAAGAAATGAGCCTTAACTAACATCCTAATTGAGCGTAAGCATAACCGGCATTAAACTCAACATTCTAGAGAATGATAATTTCTACTTTATCATGCATCCACACACACACATATGCTGAAGTGAAAGTGACAATCGAATAAACATTTAACCAAGCTATTGCGTAATACTATCAGTTTAATGAGTTTTGACCAACGGATAATGTTTGTTTATGTTTTCATATGATAGATACTTGAGTTCCAACCATATAATATGAAAATGGATGACCAATATTCGATAATTTCAGGAGACCCTGCGGTGGTTATGCTGGCAATTTTTTTATTCACATTTTAATTAAAACATCTCGCAATCATTTTAATGGTTTTATATCTTAAGGACGCATTTGTATTCTTTATGCTTTAATAAGTTGTATGGTTCAAAAAGTTTTTGTGGAAGGATACAGGCTGATGATAAAAATCATAAAAAGAATGTCTAGTTCGTAGAGACCAGCGCAGCCATAAGACTTTGTCAGGAAGTAAAAACTACATGAACAATGGATATGAAGAATAGCATATGCGGATGGTATTGGTGAACTATCATAATTTAGTTTCACTTTTGCCCGCCAGATCTGACATCTTGATGGTCTATAGTTCACGTTATCTAAATCAAATAATAGAAGCGGGATAAAGCATTTCTCTTTTCTCACAAAAAAGTAACATTTCGTATGCCAGAATAAAACAAAATTATATTTCTCATGGAAACTTTTTATCATTGTTAAGTAGATTAAAATGTGAAATATATTTACTAGGATTGAGACTACAATAACTATTTTCTTTTCTACGTTAAGAACCGATCAAAACGATAAAAATAAACTTTCGTAATTCGGAAGTTTCACTCATATTACTTTACTAACCAAGTTCTGTGAACTGTTTTTGAGATCCTTTATGTATTAATATAGATTTTTTTAGATAGTGGACCTTCAAGAACTCAGTTGAGAAATGCAAATCCGCCAAATATTTGTTATGTTACTATGAAGGCATTCCGTTAAAAATTTTTGCATTTCAAATGAGTTGTTGAAGGCGATTAGATCATGTGATGCAGTGAAAAAATTGCATTCATTTTTACACAATACTTGTAAGTAAAGCAAGCGTGTAACAAAAGAATCACATTTAACATGCAAACATGTATTATAAACACTACCTTATCTGAAAATTAAAAAAGTGTGTTACAGCAAATCAGTTTTTACATTATTTTAGTTATAGTTAATCCTATTAGCTTACTAGATAATGCCGTCCAACTTAATCGTAGATTCTAAAAGAAATAGACAAATCTCATACATTTGCATATTTATCACGTAAAAAATATATATAACTTAACTAGAATCCGAAGTCATGATGCGATATAGGCTTAGTGACCATTCTACCATTTCTTATCAATAGGTACCTTAGATAAGCATTGATTCCTAAGATCAAAGTCATCATAAAATTATCAGACTGCAAAATTCCACATGCTTCTTAATACAGAGATGTCAAACATGAATTAGCTTTACTAAATAACTGCGGGTAAGATACCAGTGTCCACTGTAATCACATTTTTATATATTTCAGATCAATGTTGTTGTTCTACGGAACCGTTATTACCCCTAGTCTGCTTGAGTTCTACCGATAACCTGTCGCAAAAGCTGTACACATCTATTGTTGTCCCATTCATTATCTTTGGAAAAAGAAAGATAACAATGTAATTTTGTACAAGCGGTGGAAATCCACGGTCAGACTGATTGCTAAACTTTGTAAACAAAAACATTGCGATTGTCAAATGTCAAAGTAGGGCTCCCAGAATTGTCCGTTCACCGTGTCAGTGGCGCGTGATCTGCGGGGGAGGTTAAAATTAAATTTTGTCGTCGTATACGCAATCGGTGATGATAGCGTCATCGGCAAACGTAACCGCGAGGTTTGATAACTCGGCGACTTTCTCTCTCGGAGGAACTGGCGTCGGAGTGTCGAGCAACTAGCGAGTTACAGCGTCCATCACAGCTTCACTCCGCCATAGCCAGCGAACCGATCCGTTCGTGGCGGACGGCGCGTACCTACCCGTATCTCGTAAATCGCGAACACAAAATTAATAACGAATTGTGCCGTCGTGTTTTTGTTTTTGTTGTTTTGATGTTTACTGTGTGATATTTATCAAAATGGGTGGTTTCAAACGGTAAGTACTTGTATAATTATAATAAGTTAAATATATTTAAGAATCAGAATATTTTGCCGAACTTTTAAAATCACTGTCCTTGCGAGTCGACTTAAAGTTAAAATTCCTCTCATCTAAAAATGTAGGACAATGCCAGACGCAGCTAAGTTCATACAAATTATATACATCTCGTTGAGCCAACAACAATGTAACGACCGAAGCTATTATTTCGACTAAACTTCAAACCAAGAGCTTCATGTATGCATGTCTAGCTGAATTTAAATATTTACAACTAATGTATTTATTACTCATCCACTTCTAAATTATATAAACGCGTGATTTAGTCTTTAAAGCTTTCTATCTATTTATGGTAGACAGACAATAACATTTAACGATATATGGTCAAACAGCTTTAAATACTTTTAAAGTTTAGACGATCGTTTCAACTTCGTAGGTTAGATATAAATACAATATCAGGTGTCAGAAACCAAAGGAATTATCTAGAATGTTTATGGTTATTACATTTTATTAAGATATTATTTCATGTAATGTTTATTTGTTGCTTTTTTAACAAAAGTTTTGAATTTGTAATATAATACATCTGTTGCTTGCTCCATTAATAATTTAGTAGGTCAAACAAAGATTGTGTCAAAAACTTTTTAAAAGACATTCATCAGTCGAAAGTTTGAACAATGAACGTAGATGAATAGGTTTTTATTCAACATCTGTTACCTCACTGCACGGTCTTAGCATTGACTCACCTTTAACCGGAACTTTCGAGTCTTTTAAATCATTATTTCTAAACTATGTAAAAAAAATATTAAAAAATATACAGTAGAGCGCGGACAAACTTGAATTCGATAATCCTAACACCCTTTTAAGACATCCAAGGTCACTGGAACATTTAAATGTTACTAGTTCAACTAAGGTTGTCACTATTAGTCGTGTTAGAAGTAAGAGTAAATTTATGTCCGGTTCACACTTGGCCAGTACAGTGGGACTATTGCGATGGCCAGTTATAGATTTTATAAACTCACCGGTGCCAGTTGTTTTTGACTGACCAACTGTTCTGGCCAAGTGTAAACTGCGCATAAATGCCTAATCTTAAGAGGTTTAGGTACTTCATTTAAATTTAGAAGTGGTTTTTGTCTCTTATCTATACTATTATAAAAAAGCGTAAACACACACTACTTTGTGGCCTAAGATGTCAGCAATTACTGCATATTTTTGAATGATTATTTTTTTAATAAAAAGCCCTACACTTACGTCATGCTTTAGGCTATATATTTTCACACCATTAAACTTAGGGGGTATATATTTTGGATAAAAACCCTAATGTGGGAAAGAGACCATAAGTTGCTGCCAACATCAAGAAAAAAAGATTGCTAAAGTTTGTCATGTCATGTCATGTCAATTTGACATTTTCTATTGATAATTTGACAAATTTAAACAATAAAATAAAGTTTTAATAATTTCACGCGGATAAATCCGCACGCTAACAGCTAGTTCTAAATAAAAATACTATCTTTGGATTGTTACAATATAATGGTTTGTTTATCAATTTTATAACAAATCCTACATTTTGTATCTTTCATAATAATCCGTTACTCAATACAAATAGACGAGTATTTGTCCAATAATTTACACGTATTTTGCAAGCACTAGCAAAGGGCGGGTGTTAAGTAATACATAAAATATTACAGCTTATGTATACAAAGTATGTCGAGGTTATGTGAATGACCCTGAATTAAATATATATTTTTTACAATTTTCATACATAAGCATTTTTAAGCGGCTAGCAATTTTTGAAAGCTATATACTTATTTCTTAAATTAAGCTTACATTGTTATTCCAACCTCGAATACTATGCAGTCAATTTTACTAATCTTAACAATATTATAAATGCGAATGTTTGTTAGAGTTTGCCGTCTAAATAACTCAACGGATCTCCGTAAAATGTAGCATAAATGTAGAGCATAGTCTGGAAGATTACATGTTCGTATTGACGTTTGTTTTTATAATTCCACGCGGACGGAGTCGCAAGCGAAAGCTAGTAAATCATAATTCAAAAACTAATATCAACAACGAATTAATTTAGACTCATATTATAAATCTATGCTGGGTGAATCCCAATTAGTAATTACATTATTTACTTAAGAAAAACAATAACCTAATTGTTTTCCTGATATGACTGTCTTCTTTGCAATTATAGATGCTTTAATAGGAACCTATTTTATTTTTTTCAATCTTGTACTTGTACTCTTAGTTGCCAGGTAGAACATTAAAGATATTGCAGTTTGTTCAGTTGTCATTTGTTTTGGGTGTTTAAATGTTTTTTTAATCTGTTCGTTTATAATTATTAATATGAAAATCGCGGATCGTTTTAGAAACTTAAATGATGAATCTATCAATGTTAGTTTTTATGACAAGAAAATATGTTAATGATGTTTAAACGAATTCCTAGTAATACTGATGCATCCGGATGCACTTGCGTCGTAAACAATTAAGCCACCGACAACATAATGCCTCTTCTCTAGGAGATGCTACATGTAAATTGGTAATTTCAATGTGTCATACGACCTGCTTACCAATTAGATTTTTTTTATTATTTTAAGGTAATTGTTTACATAGTTAACCAATTGTATAAATATACAAATTCGTGCCACAACTTAGTTTGCCCTTTCGTAGTAAATTTTTAAATTATTGAGCGTATAAAAATAAACACATTTATTTAATAGATTTATTTTTTTCTATTATTACTTTTTAGTGTTTTGTATTTTTTTTTTCAAATTTTTATTTAATGTAAATTAGTTCGAAAAAAAAATGTTACATATCTTACTCATTTAAAACTAGATTTCTAGTGATTCTAGTGCGTCTTTAATTTAATGATTAAAATCTAACTTGGAATATATTTTCGACAATATTTACTACTTTTATAATCTGTGTTGCATTTAAACATCGAACCAATTGTGGACGAAAAATCAATGATAAAATAAACCACCTTTTTACACCTGACATATTCGTATTATAATATTGTATGTTATATTATTATTTCTAGAGAATATAAACATTGTTTATTACACGATTAAATAATAATTTATATGTACTTATGTCTTCTTCGGAATTAATATAAATAATACGATATATTTATGAGCTGCTCAGAGTAATGAAATACCTTAGAACGATCGTAGTCTTCCTTATTGTAGAGTCTTGCATAAGCGACCTGTTCTAAATATTTCATTCCATGACGGTACTGTAGAGGCATCCTAACCGACAGTTCTAAGATCATTTTATGCCTTACTATTATATTTATTAGTACTTGTTATATTTATTAAACTTCGTTAAACTTTATTGGTATAGTAGCTCAAATACTATCAAGATGCAATTATTTATCTAAATCCTTCTTTTTAAACATTTCTGAAACTTTCTTTGTATACATTATTATGCGATGCTTGTTTAAAATGCACTTTAAGGGTTTTAGCGAGAAGTCGTATTAATGTTCTTCTCAAAGACAAATAGATGATTTTGGGGGGCAAATGACATTTTAATTTCAAATAGAAATAATAACAATAGAACCTTACAATACAATTTATAAATATTTTCTGTTCTGGTTAATAGAACTAAAATGACTAAGAGATCATATAAAATTATAGAGATTATAGCGCTTGTTAAAAACGAAAACTAATGAACAAAAACATAAGGAAACTTGATTATCCTCATGGTGCTCGTGTAGTGGGTTTTCTAATTATAAGAAACAATGTAATATTACATGACTCAACTAACGTCTACTAGTTTTCAGCTAACCCATATTTTTATAGCTTTTATAAATCACAAACAGTCATAAAAAACACAACTGAAATATAAATTATCATACTAATATTATAAATGCGAAAATTTTGACGTATGGATGAATATTAGAGTTAGTAGCCTTAATGGTTGAACAGATTTCGATATATTTGGCATAGATGTAGAGGACAGTCTGGAAGAAAATATAAGCTACCTGGTTTTGTTTCTTTTTTAATGCCACTCGGACGGAGTCGCGGGCGAAAGCTAGTGTTTCATAAATGTTAAGGTGATTTAAATATTTAAGCATAAAGTATTATTCAATATAATAATTTATCCGATAACTAAGACTTATTTACTATATTTATTAAAATGAGTACGGAAAATCTGCAATTATTAGAAGGAAAACCGACGTAACCACTAATACGTACTATATTATATTTTTATCCTCTTGGACATCTAAAGTTTTTTAAAAATACCGATTATCTTTAAATACTCAAGACCTACCATCGGACGTTCAGGCACACGGCCGGGTTCTATCCTTTCGTAGTTGATGTACCGCGAGTTCAAATTGGGTCATCATTCCTTGTGCATACTGCAAAGGATTGGAACATGTTGCCGGCATCAGTTTTCCCGTCCAAATATGACGTGGGGGCCTTAAAAAGGAGAGTGAACAGCTATCTTTTAAGCTAGCGCGTACAATCTTTCGACTGCATCGTCACTCCCTTCAGGTGGGATCGTGGTCAAGCGCTAGCTTGACATATATAAAAAAAAATCCTAGACCATAGGCATTTTACAAGAACATTAAACGATCATTCAAGTTACCGTTAAATAAAAAGACATCTCCCTGGAGTTATTCCACTCACGTAGGGTCGGCGTAAAAAGTTTTATTGTAATTTATTTTATTATAGATAATAAAATAAAAGTTATACTAACCTAGATTACTATTACTATGGGTGAAACAGACTTACGCAATATCACTTAACATCAAAATGCAGGCCGCAATTGAAATTTCATTCACGCATCGAAAACGCAAACATCCTTGATGCTTCGAATTATTGTGTAACATGTCTCTATTTCTTTAATAGATTATACGTGATTTTATATTAATACATTCATGTACATACTATCTGTTGCCTGTAACTTTGTCCGGATAGAATCTAAAGCATTATTTCAGACTGTTTCTGTTCATAATTTCATTTAGATCCGTTTATTTGCTGTTAAAACAGCCGGCACAT